CCCCGTGTGAGGAAAAAAAAAAATCTGCCAACCTGATAACAATCCCATTTGTAGTTGAAAAAACAAAATAAAAAGAAGAAATAATATATGTATTTACACAGATATTCACACATACAGCCATATTTGAACACATGGAGTTGTACATACCCAGACAGTGCATAAAGCCACCGGAAACAAAACCGTTTTTGGTGGCGAAATCTCAGTCACAGCTGTTTTCACATCACTACAATCTACAGTCACAGATTTAAAAAGAAGAAGAAGAAAAGAAAGGAACGTCGTCCTCAGATGTGTTCATAGCCTCTCATTAAAGGAGGACAACAACAGCTGCAGTCACTGGAATAAGCTGAAACTGACAAAAGTAATAATAAATAAAAATTTAGTGAACGTCATGACGTTGCTTTGGAATTATGGCTCAACAGAAATATTAAAAACAAAAAAACAACCAGCCTGATGGGAGCCGTGAACTAACATGTAGCTGAACAACCCTCTGAGCCAATCACTGCCATCAGGTGTTTCCTGTAACTCTCAGTCAGACTTGTGCACCTGTTGACAGGTATTCTGGACCACTGCTCATCAGCAAAGGTCTCTCATTGGTCCACCACAGTTTTGTTTTTTTAAATTAATCTTTTCAACCACAATTCAAAAGCAACGTCTTATTTCACTGAATTATAATTTAGCATTTTTTTTTATTTATTTTTACTTTTTCCAGCTTCAAGTTATTTGAGTGACTGTTGTGAGTTTTGCCTTTTCATTAATGGACGGGGATGAATACATCTGAGGACTGTAGGTATATCCACCAACCTGCTGACAATCACACTAGAGAGGAGCATCCCTCAGGGTTTTGGTCCGCTAAACCTTTGGCCGGCGTCAGTCATTAAACAAATCTGTCGGACTTTTGTAATGTGATGGAAGTCACATCTGAATGAGTGCACGTGTCACCGATGACAGCAGATGATCGACAAGTGTCAACGTGGTTCTAAAATAGCTGCAGAGGGTGTGAGAAGCATTTCTCACTGCACCCAAATACTGACCCCAAATACAACCATGCTGCATGTGCAACTGTTGTGGTAACCCAGAAATAGTAGAGCGCATGTCACATATTGATATTGTAATTTGTAGTATGCAGCATACTGTAAAGCAGCACCCGGGGCCACTATTTTTACCATCTGTGGTGACACTACGTTGATTTGTAATGTGTGTGGACAGTTTAAAAGTGGCCCTCTTGTAACTGAAGCTCTGTGCACACAACAGATGTGGTCATGGATACTACATGTGTGAAGCTGATCTGAAACACGCAAGTGGGATTTTCAGACATGCTGTGTTTACGGCCTGGGTAGCAGTAAACACACTCAGTCAGGAATTTGTAATTTACTCAGAAAAGACATTTATAGATCTTATGTGTATGTTTGTATTAAGCATGTATGTCTTATATGTTCAGTAAACCATTAATTGTTCTTTTAATGTAACGTGAGCCTCTCATCACTCAGGCTGTGACTCCTGCGTCAGTCCCCCATTTCCATTAAATAAGGTCCCTTTTTCAAGGTGTTTCAAATTTGGCCTCAATGTTTGATTCACTTACTTTGTGCATAAATATTCTGAGTTGATTTGACTTTGAGGGCTGCAGGTGTCTCAGTGGTTAGCACCGGGGCCTCACAGCTGGAAGGTCACCGGTTCGCGTCCTGGTGAGNCTGTGTTTCACTCCAGAAGTCCTTGAACACATCTCAACAGCTCTGTTTTCACTGATGCACACTGTAGCATCTCCTGTAGCTGACTGCTGCTGACAATACCGACCACACAGCATCCAAACTGTAGCTGGTTTTAAGATGAACTTTTCCCACAGTAGAACTACGAGTGGTGGTAGAAACTGAAATTAAAAATTTAGCATCAGACTTTGCTGGTGTGGCTTCACCCTGCTGTTTTAGCTGTATCAGGCAGCTGTCCTATGGTATTTTTTACCATATGTTTGTTTTTTAACATATAGAAACATCATAAGAAGAAAAAGCAGTCAGACTTCCAAGGTTTCATACATAGCAAATTTGAGGAACCAGTCCCGTCAGCGGCTTTCTGTGTCATTATTTGTTCTTCAAAACAGGTTTCTGGATTGGAAATGTGCAACATGGCTATATTATTCCAGTATTATAGGTGGTCACTGAGTAGGGTAGCTTTACAGTGTTTGAGTCATAAGAAAGCCATATCCTCCCACTGCAGCAGGTGGGAAGGGATAAGTGGTGAGAGAGGCGTGGACTTGAGAGATCTGCATGCTCTGGAGGAAGTAGGAAGTGATTATTATCATGAAAACACATCTACGTCTACATCTGATACACAGAGTAGAGTTTTTAGGGGTTTAATCAGTGACCAGAGAGGGACTCGAGATTGGAGCTCATATGAAGCCTGCTGCCTTCAGCAGCTCCGCACTGAGCGCTGGTGACACATCTAGCTGCTGTAGCTGCAGGGCAGAACACAGCAACATCAACAAGCAGTGTCATATCTGGTAGGATTTCCAGTCGGCTTAACGCTGACTAAAGCAGGCCTAATGTTTCCTAATAATGTTCACGTGTAGGTTAGAAAGAGTAGAAGCACTGTCTGGAAAGATCTGAATATGAAGCGATAGTCACTGGATGTGTTTGTGGAAAAAGCCTCCGTGCTGCTTACTGGTAATCCTCTGGATTAAAACGGAGCGTTCTCTCATCATTTAACTCTGCTCAAGCAAACCTTCTGAACAGCTGCAGTGGTGAAAAGGCTGCTGTGGACTCTGGTAGGCTGTGGAGGGTGTTGGCAGCACGGTGGTGTGGTTGTGTTGTTCCTGCCTGTGTCGCACACTCACACATCATCAACTTACACAATCCTTAGGATTGTGTAAAAAAGAACAAAATGTGAAAATGAAACGAAAGAATGTATCTGCCAGCTGAGCGACAGGCTTTTTGTTTCACTAAATGGCACAATTTTTCACTACCGGCAAACACGAAATTCCTGGTTGCTTTGCTCGAGGTGTTTGCAGCCTGGAGTGGAGGTCTTCACATCCACAGCTCGGTATTCCTTTTCAAACACTCCCAGAGGAAAAGACCTGAAGTGGATCCAATCAGCAAAAAAATGAAAAATACCCTCAAATTGTTTAAAAAAAAAAAAAAAAAAAAAACGACAGTAATTTTCACCGCTGATCGGCATCACACTCCGGTCATCAAGACCCCGTGTGAGGAAAAAAAAAAATCTGCCAACCTGATAACAATCCCATTTGTAGTTGAAAAAACAAAATAAAAAGAAGAAATAATATATGTATTTACACAGATATTCACACATACAGCCATATTTGAACACATGGAGTTGTACATACCCAGACAGTGCATAAAGCCACCGGAAACAAAACCGTTTTTGGTGGCAAAATCTCAGTCACAGCTGTTTTCACATCACTACAATCTACAGTCACAGATTTAAAAAGAAGAAGAAGAAAAGAAAGGAACGTCGTCCTCAGATGTGTTCATAGCCTCTCATTAAAGGAGGACAACAACAGCTGCAGTCACTGGAATAAGCTGAAACTGACAAAAGTAATAATAAATAAAAATTTAGTGAACGTCATGACGTTGCTTTGGAATTATGGCTCAACAGAAATATTAAAAACAAAAAAACAACCAGCCTGATGGGAGCCGTGAACTAACATGTAGCTGAACAACCCTCTGAGCCAATCACTGCCATCAGGTGTTCCTGTGACTCTCAGTCAGACTTGTGCACCTGTTGACAGGTATTCTGGACCACTGCTCATCAGCAAAGGTCTCTCATTGGTCCACCACAGTTTTGTTTTTTTAAATTAATCTTTTCAACCACAATTCAAAAGCAACGTCTTATTTCACTGAATTATAATTTAGCATTTTTTTTTATTTATTTTTACTTTTTCCAGCTTCAAGTTATTTGAGTGACTGTTGTGAGTTTTGCCTTTTCATTAATGGACGGGGATGAATACATCTGAGGACTGTAGGTATATCCACCAACCTGCTGACAATCACACTAGAGAGGAGCATCCCTCAGGGTTTTGGTCCGCTAAACCTTTGGCCGGCGTCAGTCATTAAACAAATCTGTCGGACTTTTGTAATGTGATGGAAGTCACATCTGAATGAGTGCACGTGTCACCGATGACAGCAGATGATCGACAAGTGTCAACGTGGTTCTAAAATAGCTGCAGAGGGTGTGAGAAGCATTTCTCACTGCACCCAAATACTGACCCCAAATACAACCATGCTGCATGTGCAACTGTTGTGGTAACCCAGAAATAGTAGAGCGCATGTCACATATTGATATTGTAATTTGTAGTATGCAGCATACTGTAAAGCAGCACCCGGGGCCACTATTTTTACCATCTGTGGTGACACTACGTTGATTTGTAATGTGTGTGGACAGTTTAAAAGTGGCCCTCTTGTAACTGAAGCTCTGTGCACACAACAGATGTGGTCATGGATACTACATGTGTGAAGCTGATCTGAAACACGCAAGTGGGATTTTCAGACATGCTGTGTTTACGGCCTGGGTAGCAGTAAACACACTCAGTCAGGAATTTGTAATTTACTCAGAAAAGACATTTATATATCTTATGTGTATGTTTGTATTAAGCATGTATGTCTTATATGTTCAGTAAACCATTAATTGTTCTTTTAATGTAACGTGAGCCTCTCATCACTCAGGCTGTGACTCCTGCGTCAGTCCCCCATTTCCATTAAATAAGGTCCCTTTTTCAAGGTGTTTCAAATTTGGCCTCAATGTTTGATTCACTTACTTTGTGCATAAATATTCTGAGTTGATTTGACTTTGAGGGCTGCAGGTGTCTCAGTGGTTAGCACCGGGGCCTCACAGCTGGAAGGTCACCGGTTCGCGTCCTGGTGAGAACACCCGAGTCTCCATGTTCTCCCCGTGCAGCGTGGGTTCTCTCTGGGTTCTCCGGCTTCCTCCCACAGTCCAGAAACATGCTGAGGTTAATTGGTGATTGTAAATTGTCCGTAGGTGTGAATGTGAGTGTGCTTGGTTGTCTGTCTCTAAGTGTAGCCCTGTGATAGACTGGTTACCTGTCCAGGTGAACCTGCCTTCACCTTGAGTCAGCTGGGATAGACTCCATCCCCCCATGACCCTAGTGAGGATGAAGGTGTAGAGATGATGGATGGATGGATGGATATTGACTTTGTATCTCTGATCTTTCTGTCTGTTTGTGTTCGGTTCCCATCCAGCCCTGGACGGACCTGTGGAGTCTTTGATAATGAGATCGTCATGATGAATCATGTCTACAAAGAACGCTTTCCGAAGGTATCGTCACTGTTTCTGAGCCTCGGTCTCTCTGTCAGAACCTCTGATGTGTATTTTCTATAGATAGATGGAGCGTCCTGTGTATGAATGTGCTTTTTTCTTCTGCACGTGGACCAGGACAGGAGATTGTAATGTGCCTGGAAATCTGGACTCACTCACTGATAGAGTTTAAAGAAATTGTTGATGCCATGCTGCTGTCACTGTCTTAAAAGGAAGCCTTCCGTTTTGGTTTCCCAGGCGACAGCCCAGATGGAGGGTCGGCTGCTTGACATCATTGCAGAGTGCTCCCCAGGCACCGCTCTGCCCCTGGCTGATGGCGTGCTGGGATTCATTCAGCACCAGCTGGTGGAACTCGCCAGAGACTGTCTGGACAAGTCCCAGAAAGGCCTGGTCACCTCCAGGTACTTTGTGGAGCTGCAGGAGAAGCTGGAGAAGCTGCTGCATGAGGTGGGTGTTTGCCATATTCAAGACATGATTTTAGGAAACACACATAATCCTGTTCACATTCGTTTGTTCCTGCTAAGCTGTCGCCGGTGGATTGGTTCTGATTGCCCTCTGGGACGTCACACACTGTCCTGGAGCTGCACTGGGAACAGCGGACTGAAATTGCCTGTTTGATTTGTTGTCATTGGTGCTGATTCCAGTCCATTGGCCAGTAATGCTGTTGTCATTTTGTGCTATTACAGAGAAGTGTGCAGTGGTCAGTGTGTGATTATGTAATGATTTATTACACAACATAAGCAGCAGCTCGACTCCTGCATGAGATGCTGTCTTCTGCAGAACAGATTACAGCTTCTGCTGGGGACCTCACATGACTTTTCTCTCTCCCACAAAGCTGGATAATTTATAAGTTCATGTACAGTTATTGTAAGTCTTTCTTGTGTTCGTCCAGGCGGAGTGTTGTTTATCCTGCAGTGCAGCAGGGATAGCCTGGATTCTGCCCATAAACTCCACTAAAACCGGTGCTTCTGCTCGGCCACTAATATCGTTTTAAAGCTTGTTGTTAGAAAATGGTCCCTTTTGTCCAATTTTCAGTTTATATTTTAATGTATGAACTTGTCCCTGCATGTGTAGTTAAAGTATAGATGCAGTTTTGGAGGACCTTTAATAAACCAGCAGCAGGTTGGACAGGATCAGACACAGAACCTGTTTAAGCTAGCAGCAGACGAACCTGAACTGTGCAGCACACTTTCTGAAGCTGCTGTTTGACCAAGGCAGGGCCGTGTTAGCCTAAGATATGAGACAATGAGCGATAGAAAAGGGAATTTGCAAGTGTTTTCTAATATTAATAAATCTGGCAGGGCGGGGAAAAGATGTTGATGCAAGATGTTGAAATACAATCCCTTCAATCACCGGCAGCGAATGTAAGAAGATGAAATGGATGCTAAAAGTACGAAGCAGACCAACGTGCAGACAGACCCCGAGTCTGTGGACGAGCTGAGCTGCCTCATGGCTTGTGCCAATTGGATTAAGTCACAATCATGATTCATCTTCCTTTGTCCTGTCCCGATCAGGCGTACGAGCGTTCAGAGAGCGAGGAGGTGACCATCATCACCAAACTGGTCAAGAAGATCCTCATCATCATCTCTAGGCCTGCGCGGCTGCTGGAGTGTCTGGTAAGACTGAACGGCAGGCTGAGTGGTAATCACAGGCCACACAGGTGACGTGATATCAGCGTTCACCAGTGTAGAGCCTGGAACAGACCTGTTGGTCCACATGCTTGTGTAGCAGGTGACTCACATGTACTGATGATATGCTGCAGTAATGATGCGTTTCTGCAGGTAATAATAACCCAGGTGGTGGTTGGAACAGGCAGACAGCAAGTTTACCTGCTGGACATGATGGGGCTTTGACATGCTTAGTATTACCTGACCATGTCGTGAGGACTGCATGTCATTTAGTCAGCTTGAAAACTGTCTAAACCATTACAGTGCGGGTTCCCCCGGTGTCCAGCTCCTAGGATCAGTTAGTCGTGTTTTCATGCAGCACTTTTCTGCACCCTTTAATACTCAGTGCTCTAATTGTGTTGTCCTTTGCCAACGCCGTCAGCATAATAGCAGAGAATTCAACAACACCTGACCGTGTCTGTGCTTTCTGTCGTCCAGGAGTTTGATCCAGAGGAGTTTTATCAGCGTCTGGAGGCTGCAGAGGGTCAGGCCAAGGTGGGCCAGGGCATCAAGACTGATATTCCCAGATACATCATCAGCCAGCTGGGCCTCACCAGAGACCCTCTGGAAGGTACAAGACATATCTTTTCATATTGTTATGTTTGTACGAAGCACTTTGGCATATTTTCCTTCACATTAAATGTTCTGCCTGCTTGCACTAGACGTACACAATACGGACAGCATGATTAATACCATTATTTATAGAGCGTCTGTCAGTATGTCAGTAAACACTTTCTTCAAGTTTTTAAAATGTCATGATAAGGAGTTAATATCCTGCTAACCCATTGAAGCCTAAGGCTGCCTCTAAATTCACATGCATGTCCACACACACGGTGCATCAGGTCTTCATGTTTAACTCCACTGAGTGAAATGCTCGCTCACTGTTCCCTTAGACAAAAACATGAATGATATTCAGAACATCTGTCACCCCAGTCTGAGAACTTAATAAACCATCACACAGAGAATTGTGCTAGTGACGCTGTTCTTGCTGCCTTTTCTTCTCTTTTCATCGGCGCATGAATTCATTGTGCTTGAACAGATTTTTTTCTTCATCAGAGCATTTTGTTGTATTTAATAACAACAAGGCATCTTTACTGAATCTGCACTGTACTGCCTTATGTTTATTTCAGGTTTATATTGTGTACACTGAAGGAATGCAGCAACGTTTCCTGTGTACTAAGCACTGCGTTGATTTCCAGTGACATCCAACACAGAAGAGCACCGACACGTTATAAACTAATCACATAAGAAGCTGATATACGTTAGATCCTGATTCAGTTTTATCGAGCATCATCTGTCAGTGTCGCTGCAGCTGAACGCGGTATCCTCTCTGGTGTTCACTGCAGCTGAATGCAGTTTGATGTGTGTGTCTGCTGCTGTTACAGATATGGTCCATCTGGAGCAAACAAGTCCAAGTCACAGAGCATCCAGCCGAGAGTCCGATGACACTCTGGAGGCATCACCTGTACAGGTATGAGCTTAAAAACAGTGGCAAAGTGAGGCTGAAGGAGTTGTTCTGAATGCCTATAAAATCTAACGAGGAGAAGCTAAACGAGGCTGAAGGCTTTCTTGGACAGACTCGGACTGAGTGGTGGGTTGTGGTGTTTGTTTATACAAAGCTCTTCCTACCACCACCAGCTCATGACGCTCATGAATTCATGCGTTTTAGAAGAAATGCAGCAGCCACATTCCTTTGATTTTCCTTCTGTGTTTTGGATGTGTGTGATTCAGAGCCGAGCAGCCTGCACCCCTCCTCGGAGGAAACCACTGGAGAGCGACTTTGAGACTATAAAGCTCATTAGCAATGGCGCCTATGGGTGAGTAAGACAGACTTCTTTGTTTGCATTTGACTGACTCAGTCACTTTGTGGACACCACAGAGACCCAAATAAAAGAGGAAAAGAAACTAAAATGAGGACGTGTGATTGTAGTATTTCTGTGTTTACACTGACAACCTCTCTGGGAAATTTCTTCAAGTCTGAACTGAAGCTCATTAATAAGCAGTGCCTTCTCACTGCCTCCTTTTCCTTGTTAAGTCTCTCAGTTCATTTCCCTTCCTCTGTCATTTCTATATAATCTGTCCTATCTTGGTTCATCTTCTAATTTTGCTTCTTTTTCTTGTTTTTTTCCTTCTCCCTCCCTCCCGGCTTCTCTCCATTTCCTGCCATGCAGGGCTGTATTCCTGGTGCGCCACAAGGACACCCGTCAGCGTTTTGCCATGAAGAAGATCAACCGGCAGAACCTGATGCTGAGGAACCAAATCCAGCAGGTGTTTGTGGAGCGAGACATCCTCACCTTTGCTGAAAACCCATTTGTGGTTTCCATGTTCTGCTCTTTTGAGACTCGGAGGCACCTCTGCATGGTCATGGAATACGTGGAAGGTGAAGTTGTTTTGGATTCTGCTTCGTGTGTCTGTTAAACGTGTACTTGTGAGAAATGAAACTCTTTATATTCCACTTGTCGTGCACATAGAAAGGTCATGTCATGACGGCCTCCTTTGCTCTTCAAGGTGGGGACTGTGCAAACCTGTTGAAGAACATCGGTCCTCTGCCCGTGGACATGGCCAGGATGTACTTTGCAGAGACCGTCCTGGCTTTAGAGTACCTTCACAACTACGGCATTGTACACAGAGACCTCAAACCTGACAAGTGAGTTTTCATCCAGTTGAACAAAGAGAATATTCCCAGACATGTCACAGTTTTTCCGTTTTTCCTATCAGTGCTTTCAGGCGTCGCTGAATTGCTTTAAAGCTTTCATCATTTTTAGACTTGCGATCATCTCTGAAAGACGGGCAATCTCTCTGAAGTTCAGGCAGAGTTTTCTCAAACTTTCCGCCTTTGATATTTCTCTCTGACTCTGAAATTCGACTGCTTTGGGGTTAGCATTTGATGTAACATGAAACACTGCTGTTTTCTCCCTTCCTTTGTAGTTTGTTAATCACCTCCCTGGGACACATTAAGCTGACAGACTTTGGGCTGTCAAAGATCGGTCTGATGAACATGACGACCAACTTGTATGAAGGACACATTGAGAAGGATACCAGAGAATTCATTGACAAACAGGTGTGTTTCCTCTCATCTCGCCTTGTCTTCACCTTGTCTTGTCTGTTTATTACCTGAACTATCAGCCTCCTCTTCCTGTGTTTGTCTGTACAGGTGTGTGGTACTCCGGAGTATATCGCTCCAGAGGTGATCCTGAGGCAGGGCTATGGGAAGCCTGTGGACTGGTGGGCCATGGGCATCATCCTGTACGAGTTCCTGGTGGGCTGTGTGCCTTTCTTTGGAGACACACCAGAGCAGCTCTTTGGTCAAGTGGTGAATGGTAAGAAAATCTTTTATTGTTCTTTACTTTCCTACACTCACACCTCTCTGAGACGCAGGTCATTATTTCTCGTGCTGGGATGTAGTCATCACGTCAGATTTATGCAGCGTGTTCAAACACTGGACACGCTTCATCACTCTTTGCCACTAATGCTCCTTCCACACTCACCACCTCTATGAACTGGTGAGGTGGCGTCCCTTCACACTCGGCGGCATCACCACTGCTTTCATTTCATTCACCAGTCCGTTCTGGTCCAGACACCGTCCTGCCGGTCCTCTTTTCTTCACGTCGCCCAGAATCGTTATCCTACTAGGTCTAGTGAACATATCAGGCTCATCATCCCAGTACTTCTACTATTTTTGGCCGTAAGTCCTTTGTAGCTGCTAACAGCTGGAACATCTTACAAAACACCCTCAAACCACCTTCAAGCTTAAATCCAACAGACTGCAGTCGACTGTTGCTCCTGCTGATCACGCCGGAGTTTACTGACATACTTATACATAAACACACACACTCTTACACCTCATGCAAGTTGTTCTCACTCACATGCACATGCCCCCATGCTTCTGACCCGTTTACTTTTGTTCTATGTTCATGTGTCTGTACTTTACACGTGTTTGTTCCTGCCGGCGCCTCTCGGCCAGCTCATGTTTGCAAATGAGAACTGGTTCTCAGACATTTACACCTGCTAAAATAAAGGTCAAATAAATCGATGAATAATTTTACACCTCAGTCCTGTGAGCTTTGTGTATCCAGTGCATTTGAAGCCTTCATTGATTCATAGTTTATTCTTTTATGTTCAGACGACATCATCTGGCCAGAAGGGGAAGACGCTCTGCCAGCTGATGCTCAGGACCTCATCACCAGGCTGCTGAGGCAGAGCCCTCTGGAGCGCCTGGGAACAGGTTGGTGGCAGTGTGAGGGATTATGGATGGATGGGCAAAGACTCTCTGGAGCCTGTTGAGCGTCTGCTTGCACAGCGCTGCGACCTTGTGGTGGCCAAGAGCCAGCTCCAACAGACTCCCGTGACACCATTCTGTGTTTAATTATGGAAACAGCCACGACGTGAGGTTTCCCACTAGGAGGGAATAGGTGGTACCGGTCAGAGGAGCTTAGGGTTGTGAAGACCCTTGAAGCTGCTCTTAGTAAGAACGACCACATCTTTGCTCTGATGCTGGTAGTTTGGTAGCCCTTTGTTGCTTTATTTGATCGTTTTTTTCCCTTTAGATGCACAGTTTTATGTTGACATCAGAGCTGTCGTGATGTTAGGCTACTAAGACTAGATACAGATTGAGGCAGAGCCAGACTATTTTCTTTCCTGCAGACAGAGAAGGGGAGACCAGCTCACAGTGGTTAGATGAGAGTTCTAGAAACTATTGCTATGAATATGTCAAACCTCATAGAGGTCTAATCATTTTCCTTGCTTGGTGGGGAGTAGCTGTACACCAGGCACAACATGGGTGTAGTCATGGGTTTGACTGATGTCTTCTCCAGGTGGAACCACTGAGGTGAAGATGCACATGTTCTTCCTGGGCCTGGACTGGAACGGCCTCCTGAGGCAGAAAGCCGAGTTCATACCTCAGCTGGAGACGGAGGACGACACCAGCTACTTTGACAGTATGTGGATGTACTGACAGATGAACAGACAGTATGGATGTGTGTATGTCTGCATGGCCACGGAGAAACCCTGGACACACCTTTATTATAGACAATAGGAGACACTCGAACACGCTTCAGAACGGTGATCTGTTTCTGGAGTTGATTTTATGCTAATACGTGGTGCCAGTTTTATCTTGGATAGAAGCAGTGACACCAGTTTTTAAACATTTAACCGACTGTGTTCCCTGCAGCCCGATCGGAGCGCTACTGTCATCTGGGCTCAGATGAAGACGATGAAACCAACGACGATGAGTCATCTCTGGAGCTCCGACAGTTCTCTTCTGTAGCCCACCGCTTCAGCAAGGTACCTCCTACTCCTTTGCCATTTAGATGATGTAGATTTAGTGTTAGCTCTTTGATGCCATGAAACATTGGTGTCAGTCGTTTGTTTCTAAACTTAACTTCTATGTCTGTTGAACCCAATAAATATTCACCGTTAATCCACCTGACCTCTTGACTGCTAGGTGTACAGCAGCACAGAGCACCTGTCCACCTCCACGCCATCCAACCAGAGCCTGTCGTCATCGGAGCGGAGCCACAGCGAGGAGAAGGAGGAGCGCTGGGAGGGCCGGGGAGTACTTTCCCCTGGCGACGGACACAAGCACTTGGCTGGTGGAGACAGGAGGGCAGATGGACACAGGGGGAGGTGAGAGCATGAAGCGAGAGCCACTGATGTCCTCATTATAAGATAACCAAAAAATTACAGCCTTTCTCGCCTTGTTCGCTATAAATGTGGAAAATGTGAGATGGAAGTGTAGTGTTCGTTCTCAATCGATGTGAAGCGTTTCATGTTCAGAATGAACACTTTGTCTGAGACGTTAAAAATAGTCACATTGGAATATTAGTCTAATAATCATTATACTAGACACCCAGCTCTGATGATTAGAGTTTTCTCAGTATGCTCTGACTGACATGCGTATCAGATGGAGGCGTTTGCGTTGCCTGTGGGTGTGAATGGCAGCGTCAGAGCTGCTGCTTACCTTTCAGTATGTTCTGCAGTCAGTCCCTGTTTGACCCTGGATAAAGTTTTATTGCCTGTAGTTGTTTTTATGCCAAAGGAGGGAAACGTTGCTGGAGATCTACTTTAATGTATTTGTTGTTAATTTCTAAAAAAAAAAAAAAAAAAAACGAATCTCACCCTAAATATTATGTTTATCCTGGTTTTCGCTTTGCAGCCTTCGTCCTCGTGCATCATCCAGCTCCTCGCAGTCGGAGCGCAGCGCCAGCCCACTGGTGATGAACAGCACCCAGAGCCTGGACATCATGCCTCGCTTTGCCATCGCTGCCGACGAAGAGGGTGAGGCTAGTGAAATACCAAACTCTCTCCTTTAGTTACTTTGCAGTTGTGAAGCAGCAGTGCCGACCCTCCATGTCCCCTTATTGCAGATGGGATGGTTTCTAACCTGCGGCGCATCCGTCTCCGGAGCAACAGCACCGGCACCAGGCCGTCTTTCCGGAGAGGGGCGTCCAGACGGATCGCGCATCAGCTGGAGACCCCAGAAAAGCCCAGATCCCCGTCTGGAAAAGTCCCCAAGTCGGCGTCCGTCTCTGGCCTTTCTCTCATCATCACCCCAGGTACAGAGAAACAAGACACCTGTATTATACCAGAAAGAACAAGACCCCTCTGGAATCAAAAGAAAATAATGAAAGAGTAATTAAAGAAATTACGTAAGCAGGTAAACGTATATCTGTGTCTGGTCCTCTGGTTCTGGTTCTCTTTGAAGCTCGTCTGGGTTCGATTGCTTCATTTCCATTCAAATTCATGTTTTTTTAATCAAGTCTTTCAGAGGCTCGACTGCAATCAGTCCGTATTAATGAAGAGCATTCATGTGTTTACAGTGCCCTCTACAGACCGATACACAAACCCTAGAGCTGGTCAGGATGAGAACAGTGTCTCCTCATGTATTTGGTGTTCTCCGTTTCAGTTTGTAGCTCAGAAAGGTTGAAAGATGCAGCATTACCAAAACCTAGATGCAGTTAGCAGTACAGACTGTTCATCCTCTCGTCATCTTCTTCTCCTGAACCAGACGACTCGGCTGGTCCTCCCACGAGCCCCAAGTCCTCTCTGTCCCTGTCGTCCAACCCGTCGTCCAGAGACTCGTCTCCCAGCCGCGACCTTTCAGTCAGCATCAGCTGCCTCAGGCCTCCTGTGGTCATCCACAGCTCTGGGAAGAGGTTTGGCTTTGCGCTGCGAGCTATCAGAGTGTACATGGGAGACAGCGACGTCTACACGGTGCATCACATGGTCTGGGTACGTGTCCTCATCCCACAGCAGGCTGCTCCTGTTCACCATGAATTAGTCTGTGTATGGAACAGATTCATTTCTAATAATGAGTCACGATGTTTATTTCTAAAACTGCATATTAGAGCAACTTTCATGGTCTGTAGAGTTTCATTTAGATGCTCCTAAAAGTCCACACTGTGGTGCTGGACAGGTCCAGATCAGCTCTGTGTTTCATCGTTTTTAGACTTTGGTATGTGTCCATATGTGATTTTTTTCTCTCTCAGTAAACCTGAAGTATGAGTTGTACCAATTACACGTGTGAACTATTGTCAGTGACTAAATGGTAGCCTGACCAGTAATTCTGAGGTTGTGTGTTTGGTCCAGTGTGTTGAGGACGGCAGTCCAGCACACGAGGCCGGGCTGAGGGCAGGTGACCTCATCACTCACGTCAACGGGGAGTCGGTCCAAGGACTCGTGCACACTGAGGTGGTGGAGCTCCTGCTCAAGGTATCCAGAAATCTTTAAACATACGGTGCATATTTTAATCTAACTATTTTAATTGAAATTCTGAGTGTGCTTCAAGTACATTAGTCTCTGAATGGCCCACTGAGCTGTTGTCACACTAAAACGATGCCCTGGCCTTTCATGGCTTCTCCTCTAAGTGACTGTACGCCACCTCAGGTGTTCACGCTAATGATCTGCTTCTAACAGAGCGGCAACAGAGTGACCCTGCAGACCACTGCACTGGAGAACACATCTATCAAGGTGGGCCCGGCCAGAAAGGCAAGCTACAAGGCTAAGATGGCCCGACGCAGCAAAAAGAGCAAGAGGAAGGATGGACAGGACAGGTACACGAGGGGGGGTTAAGTCATAACGTCGCTGACTTTTATGACTCCTTTCTGATGTTAAGTAATACATTTCAGGTTGATAACAGAATTTGACTGAACATTTCTTTACATTTCCTTTGTCTATAATCTCAGAGACAGCTGTGTCGTTGTCTTCCAGCCTATTTGTTTACCCATCCATTTCTATACACCGCTTAATCCTCACTAGGGTCGCGGGGGGGCTGGAGCCTATCCCAGCCGACTTAGGGCAAAGGCAGGGGACACCCTGGACAGGTCGCCAGTCCATCGCAGGGCCACACTTAGAGACAGACAACCAAGCACACTCACATTCACACCTACGGACAATTTAGAATCACTAATTAACCTCAACATGTTTTTGGACTGTGTGGGAGGAAGCCGGAGAACCCGGAGAGAACCCACGCTGCACAGGGAGAACATGCAAACTCCACGCAGAAAGATTCCGGTGCCCCCACCGGGACGCGAACCAGCAACCTTCTTGCTGCGTACCAACTGCGCCACCTTGCAGCCCCTATTTGTTTACCTTTAGCGTTTAATTTCTACTTACCAACAAATGGTTGTTCTACTAGAAGTTAAAGCTAACAACAGTCTGACCCACTTGTTCCTTTTGCAGCCGGCGACGCAGCATCTTGAAAAAGCTGTCGAAGCACACGCCTCCACCCATGCAGAGCAGCCGCAGCTTCTCTTCAGGCTTCCACCAGTCGTCTAGCGACAGCCTCTCTGGTTCCCCGACACAGAGTCTCTCTCCTGGGCCGTCGACGCCGTGCCGCTCCCCTGCTCCCGACCACTCTGGAGGTGAGGACGCCCTGCACGGTGCTTGTAGAGGAGGAACGATATCCACTAAATCTAAATATCTCCTTCCTTCTCCTCCAGACTCCAGCTCCTCGCCCTGCTCCAGCTCTCCTAACTCACCTGTACCACAGGCTCGTCCCAGTTCCCTTCACGTCTTGGGTCGCTACACGAAAGCCGGTCGCTGCAAGTCCACCAGCAGCATCCCCCCTTCGCCTCTGGCCTGTATCCCACCACCTCAGCCTCTCTCTCCCCAGTGCTCTCCCTCCTGCCTCCCGAATCACCCCAAGTCCTTGCACGGTTTCCACGGCAAGACGCTGTCCCCTCCCACTATCGCCCGGCATTCTGTGCGTCCCCGCAGTGCAGAACCGCCCCGCTCACCGCTGCTCAAGAGAGTCCAGTCTGCAGAGAAGCTGACAGGAGACAAGTCGACGGGGGGCTACCACGGAGACAGGAAGGCCTACAGCACCCGCCGCCACACCATGGAGGTGCCTCTGTCTGAGAGCGAGGGCCTGGAGGACATGGAGGGCGACACCGCCACCGGCTTCGTCTGCGTGGGCGAGCACGGCCGCCAGGGGCTGTACATCGGAGGGCAGAGAGGCCACCAGGACACGGGCGGCGGAGGCAGCGACTATCACCGGCCCAGCGCCTCGCCCCAACACCGCGGCGGCAACCACCATTCGAAAGAGGTGGTGGTGATGAGGAAGCTGGCTCTGTCAGAGCGCAGGGACTCCTTCAAGAAGCAGGAGGCCGTGCAGGAGGTGAGCTTCGATGACCTGGACGAGAGGGAGGGGACGCCGAGCCCCACGATTCCCGTCGTGCAGCCAAAGGCATTCAAGGCGTCCTGGATCAACTCGTCCCAATCAGAATCCAGCGTGAAGCTGGGCGGAAGAGGACCACAGGGTATCGCTCCACAGAAAGCCAAGTCAAAAGACAAAGAAGGGTTTTAGTGTTTCCCTCTGCCAGGGATGACAGGTCAGCGGAGTGAAGTCTCTGACTGCAGACTGTTCTCACATCTGAAGGCCTTGCATGTGTCCAGAAAACTGTGACCAAGTTCCACATCAGAAGAACAAATGAAAGTCGATGTTTTTCAGTCATACATGCATCCTGCAACACTGTTAACAGAATGACTGCCAAACTACGTTTACTTCCAAGTTGCTTGTTTGGTTCTCAGATCACTGTGGCACCTGTAACTGATGTACTGTGTAAATAGTTTTTGTTTTAAATGAAGGAACTTATTTATGACTTTTTACGCTCATCTTGTTTTTGGGTTGCTGAAAACGCCTTGGATTCTTCAGCCTTTCTTATTTCAGGAATTGCCCCAGAGAGAAGCCAGGTGACGACTCCTCAGTGTGGTCTCATGGTTGGTGTGGAACAGGAGAGGTGTATTAGTCGATATGGTAACCGGTTTCTGTTTTTATACCGCAGTGTGCGTGTGTGTGTGTGTGTGTGTGTGTGTGTGTAGAACTGGGTGTTGTGTCGTGTTCAAGTTGGGTCTTTGGAAGAACCTTCCAGTGTTCGTCCTGCACCACGTGTACTATATAAGTCCACAACATCCCCTTTGCTGCCTGTCCGAAGACACGGATCATGCAGCTTGTGGTCGTGACCGTTTGGATCAGGCATGTATGAAGTCTTTCAAGGACAAAAATATCAGCATTACAATACTTGGGAGCCGAGCTGTGGTGCCAAAGCATGATCTAGCCATAGGAACCATTTAAAAGAGGTACTGTAGTTGTACATAAGAAGCTTCACGTATGCATGGGCTCTACGCCACTCGCTGTCCTGTCCTGTACAAAAAGTGCGTCAGTGCTGACACTCCTCTAGCAGTTGTATAAATCCTAACCTGACCAACACACAGGTGTGTAGATAGAGCTCTGTGGTTCCCTCCAGAACCCAGGCGTGTGTCTGTCCTCTGGTTCCTTGATGAATCAAACTTCCGTCCACCTCCTCACAAAGTAGTAGTAGCCGCGTAACTGTTAGAACACCGTTATCTTCCAGGATCATCTGTTCTCTGTGGGATTCAAAAACCATACAGTGGATGCAACAAACAAACCTGGCTCACTTGGCTGTTTTTACAACAACAAAAAAAAGTGTATTATGAATGAATGTTTACATTTTAGTGCAAATACGTGTGTGGACTTGTTATGGTTTTGTTAAATTATTACGGGGAAAAAAGAATGAGCGGGTGGTAGAAGTCCCCCAAAAGCCCTGAGTGGATGAAGGAGTGAGTCAGAGGGGATCTGCTTTTGTATATTTTGATATGGACACAGTCTTGTTGCAGTACTAATAACCTACGCTGTTGACGTATATTGTCTGGACCTTATAGCAGCTGTCAGTGGTGTGTTTTGAAAGTGACCTTGTGAGGGTAGATGGACTCAGAGTGGCATGGTCTTAATCCCCCGTCGCAATCAGCCTCAAAGGATTGTGCATGTTTTTACATCCCATTAAAATGTTTCCGCCGTTTCCTAACAGCTTGGGGAAGTTATTAATCTGTTCCAGTTATTGAGTTTGAATCATTGATTTGAGCTTTAAAATGAGATGTAAACATGTGGGCTTTGGTTTTCAGTTATGTATTCGCTCATTTGTGTATTTGTGTTCATTTCTTTTTTGTCATTGTTTTAATTCAGGAACTGTTAAGATCAGCAAGTACAAACGCTTCCAGTCTGATTTCAGATGAATGGGTCACACAGCAGGAGAACCTGTGCAGCCTTATGAAGGCTCATGTTCTACAGAGTTAAACGTGTAGTCCATCGTGGAAAGTCAGCACATACAGGGTCTTTAGTAAAAGTTGAAATGAAAACTTTAAAAGATGACTTTTCATCTGCTTTGGGGCGCGTGTGGGGGATTTGTCACTGAATTTCTGATGCAATATACATTTGATATGTTGTTGGGATTTGTTTTTTAATTATGCCACCACAGCATCTCTTGACCTCATGTTTACCGCCACGTTTCTCTTTAAACTGGGAGATGATTTTGTGGAGCTTTCAGCAGCAGACAACTGATTCATCATCTCACATCAAACCAAGCATCGAAGGAACTCCTCATCTCTGCTTTTCATCGCTGTGTCTGTGCGATACACTCCAACTTCTTCAGCTGCCATCTTCCACATGTTCCACGTGTTTGAAATGTGTTGCTCCACACTCGACCCTGTTGACCCCAGCAGACCGATGGCCTTTGTGAGGCGCCTACCGTGTGGGTGACCGGTGCAGACTGCTGTGACTTTGTTTTCCTCTTGTCTTAACAGTGCTTGAAATAAATAAATTGCCGAGGACTGGAGAGTCCAGTACTACACATGTTTTTTTCTGGTCTTTTGTCCTACACACACTACAACACCCTCAGATGTCCTGATGTGCGGTTTCAATAGTGTTAACAAGGTCTGATATATATGAGATTTCCTGATAAAATACAGGTTTAGTCCCTTAAATTGTTGCTGTCCTCCCACGTTAAATATAATCTGGTCACAAAGCTGGAAGCAGATGAGCTGGAAAGGAATTTAAGCTTTGAGAAAAGTGAGATGTGGATTGTATGAAAATGGGATTGGAATTCAATGTCCCTGTTTAACCCACCTCGGGATTAGACGCGGATTTATCATGTGCTTCAGCACTTTCTCTTTCTCATACGAACAGGACTCTTTGCAATAAAAGACAGCCTAAAGTATTTTAGAAAAAAAAAGAAGAAAGAAAGCAGCCAAACAGCTCAAGATTATCAGGTTCAGATTTCCATTATGCGCAGAGACCATTCGGTGACCCCTCACTAAGCGTTCGGACTTTTCCGCTCGGCTTCGGCTCTTTCCGGCTCCTCGCATTAGTTCCCACGCACTCTTCCTTCCCTGCGCCGTGCCGAGCTGGAAAATGGCTGTGCGCAAGAGCAGGGAGTTATGAACGGCAGACGAAAGAAGGAGCGCGAGGAGGACGGCGACGCCAGCGCGTGAAGCTACAGGTTGGCCGACAGGTTTCCACGAGGAGCCAGCGCGCGCACATTATTAAGAAAAAAAGCAGATAAAGCAGAGCTCCGCCACTTTGAAGGTTCCAGCTCCGGAGCCCAAAGTGCGAAGAAACATCCGCGGGTGAGTTTTTCCAACTTCTCGCACATTTCCAGTCCAGCAGCAGCAAAATGGTGGAAGCGCTGTGACACGGTACCGGGGCCGAGCTACGCTGGGTTTAAAGTTTAAAGTTAGTTTCTGGCTAGTTTTGTGGCGTTTTTGCGCAGTAGTGTTTGCGCTAAAATCTCGTCCTGCAGCAGCAGCAGCAGCGTGTTGCTCGGCGCCTGTTGACGTGTATCCAGAGCTGAGCCCGTTAAGTTGCTCTGACGCTCACATTCACGTCTAAAGTTGATTTTTGAACGTTTTTTTGTGCGTCTGAACCACAAACAGGACTTTTAAACCAAGCAGTTCCTGAAGGTGTCCATTTGCGCAACAGCTCCAGTGCACATTTTTCACCTTAATGCTTAAACGTGGAAGTTTTACACGTTGCTGAGGTTAAATAAAGTTTAATGGTGAGTTCAGTAACGTGCTGCAGCTTCCACTGGGCTGCAGCTCTCTGGAGGAGGCCTGCAGTGGAGGCCTCAGAGCTGATGGGTGTGTTGCATCCCAGCCTGGAGGGTCCTACAGCCAGGGTCCCAAAGCCTGGATTGCACAGCCAGGATCCAGGCTGTGGGATCCTGACTGTGGGATCCTGGCTGGAGGATCCAGGCTGTGGGATCCAGGCTGTGGGATCCAGGCTGTGGGATCCTGGCTGGAGGATCCTGGCTGGAGGATCCTGGCTGTGGGATCCCGGCCAGAGGATCCTGGCCGTAGTATCCCGGCCGGAGGATCCAGGCCGTGGGATCCAGGCCGTGGGATCCAGGCCGTGGGATCCAGGCCGTGGGATCCTGGCCGTGAGACCCTGGCTGGAGGATCCAGGCTGTGGGATCCAGGTTGTGGGATCCTGGCTGGAGGATCCGGGCCGTGGGATCCTGGCCATGGGATCCAGGCCGTGGGATCCTGGCCGTGGGATCCTGGCCGGAGGATCCAGGCCGTAGGATCCAGGCTGTGGGATCCTGGCTGGAGGATCCTGGCCGTGGGATCCTGGCCGTGGGATCCAGGCCGGAGAATCCGGGCCGTGGGATCCTGGCTGTGGGATCCTGGCTGTGGGATCCTGGCCGTAGGATCCCGGCCGTAGGATCCCGGCCGGAGGATCCAGGCTGTGCGATCCAGGCTGTGGGATCCAGGCTGTGGTATCCAGGCTGTGGGATCCTGGTTGTGGGATCCTGGCCGTGGGATCCTGGCTGTGGGATCCAGGCTGTGGGATCCTGGCTGGAGGATCCAGGCCGTGGGATCCTGGCCGTGGGATCCTGGCTGGAGGATCCAGGCTGTGGGATCCAGGCTGGAGGATCCTGGCTGTGGGATCCAGGCTGTGGGATCCTATGTGTAGGATCCAGGCTGGAGAATCCAGGCCGTGGGATCCTGGCTGTGGGACCCTGACCGTAGGATCCCGGCCGTAGGATCCAGGCCGGAGGATCCAGGCTGTGCGATCCAGGCTGTGGTATCCAGGCTGTGGTATCCAGGCTGTGGGATCCTGGCTGTGGGATCCTGGCTGTGGGATCCTGGCTGTGGGATCCAGGCTGTGGGATCCAGGCTGTGGTATCCAGGCTGTGGGATCCTGGCTGTGGGATCCTGGCTGTGGGATCCTGGCTGTGGGATCCAGGCTGTGGGATCCTGGCTGTGGGACCCTGACCGTAGGATCCCGGCCGGAGGATCCAGGCCGGAGGATCCAGGCTGTGTGACCAAGCTGTGAGATCCTGGCTGTGGGATCCAGGCTGTGAGATCCTGGCTGTGGGATCCAGGCTGTGGGATCCAGGCTGTGGGATCCTGGCTGTGGGATCC